ATAGATTAGGGAATGCTTAGGTTGCCACAACATAAACCTAGCCTAACGTAATGTCAGGAAAGAAAAAAGAAAAAACATACCCCCTTTTGCTCACTTCCCTTTCCAAAGCTCCTGTAACCACAAATGAAATTATTTGTCAAAGTCTTTACTCAAAGTAAATTTTGAGAAGCCCCAAACCTTCATCTAAAGAGAAACTGCGAGTATTTGAACAAAGCTTGTTTTTCTCTTATTTTGCAGTCCCTGGTAGCAGTAAAGCGAAGAAACAGGCAGCACCGAAGTAATTTTCTAATAAAATCTGGGTAGCTTTTGAGATCTTCAAATCCTTCCTGTTGAATTTGTTCTGATGGATTCCTCTACTTCACAGCCTAAAGAAATAAAATGATTTCGAGGTCTCTGTTGTTGAAGAATTTAGTTACTAAAAAGTATCTATTCATGGTTTATCTTCTTAGGTCTAAGCTATCCACCATTTGGGAACACTCAGCTCACACTCTGACCCAACAGAGGAACTATTTTTGGGTGTTACAGATAAAACAAGCAGCTTATGTGCCAGTAAGAGGTTAGGCTTTTTTTCTGAACTACAACACAGGCACTCTCCATGTTTCTAAGAGTTTCTCTGCATTGCTTTGAATTGTAAACAGATTATTTTAGGTTTGTATTTTTCTTGCAAGATACTCCTCTAGAAGTCTTTTGTGAGTCATGCTATTATCCATCTTCCTGGGTAGACCAAGAAAACAAGGCCCTGGCAACTCTCTATCAAGGCCATTTATTGGCGCTGTATGTTGAGAAATGAGGGAATGTCTGGACAATGAGGAAACTTGCTTACTGCCTGCTGTAAAAGTAGTAGATTCCCAAAGCTGAGCAACCATCCACTGCAATAAGGGAACACTGTGTGTGCGGCATCCATGCCCGCCCATATCTCATCACTTCCATGCTCACAACACTAACTCTACCTGAAATATTGAACTTGAACTGTGTAACACTGTCTCCAAAGAAATACAAAGCTCCATTTGGTATGCCAGGGCGATCCCCTTCACACCATTTCTAATACCTGCAGGCCAGTGGAAAGGGATTCCCCCGTGCACCTGGCTTTCCTGATGGCTAATTACACAGGGCAGGGACTCCCAAAGGCCAGGGACTGGGGTGAAGGAGTCACAGTCACTATGCAAAGAATAAGAAACAGGGTGCCAAGTAATAAAGGGTTTGGAAGATGCTCAATGGGGTGAGCAGGCTAAGAGGAAGCCCCGGGGCATTCTGTCAGTATGGCCTGCACCCCTTCATCAGCCTCCCATCTGATGTTATTTCTAGTTTCTGCCCTAGGTCCCGGTCATTTTCTTCCCACTGTTCCCACAGACTGACTGAGGTTTAAGGGTTTCTGCTCCACCCTGGCTCACTGTAGAAAATGTAGAATGTAGTTTCAGCACTTTTTTCCCCTGATGTTTCACCCCATTAACCAAAACAAAGTAACTCCACAGCCTTAAGACCAGAGCCACAATGTTTCATAACTTCATGGAAGTGTGACGGGTAGTGGAAATGGAGGTACAGACTTAAACAGAATGCTTATCTTTACTTAATTCATGTAAAGAAACATCAGTCTGTCCTATCAGCTAGCCAAGCCACTCAGTTTTGCCTGGCAACATTCAACAGTCCTTTAAAGAAAGATAAGCATGAAGGCAACTTTGTAGTTCCAAGATTGCCATTTACTAAGAAACTGTAAGGGAATTTCCACACTGAAATGAGAGACCGTGTTCATTTTTTCCATCAGGATCAGAGCCAAAAAGCAGCCAGATTTCTTGAAAACTTAGGTGAGGTTTCCAAGAGTTTAACAGAACAGATTTACCAGCAAAAGGCAGGAAGACTGAGATTATAATTTGAACCAGGCGAACTGTTTCATAACATAAAATGTGGCACTTAATGCAGTTTACAGAATATGGTATGCTAAAAACGTTACTTATGGCAGTACCAGGCCTCTACAGAGTGGAACTAGTCGGCAAAAGGACAAAAAAGGGAGGGAAAAAGAAGACACGGCAGCATTAGAAAACCACAAAAGATTGATACACTTTTTTCTTTTTTTTCTAACAATGCTTTTCACCACACTTTTGGTTTAAAAGCACAGAAGGTGACATGACATCTTTTTCTTTTGGGCCATTCTGAGTCAGAAATTTATTATACTAATTGAAATGTATCCTAACTTAAGAAGACTCAAGTCTAACAAACATGCACTACTAAGGTCAACCAAGTCACGATCACCGCAGGCTATATGAGGAGATCAAAGTTTTCTGCGGCTACTGGAACAGATTTACTTTGGGTTCCTGAGTGGCTTGGCTAGCTGATAGGACAGACTGATGTTTCTTTACTTGAAATAAACATGAAGTCAAAACCACTACCAGAAAACTCATCCTGAAAAGGCTTGGCTCACTTCCTGATGTGCTAGCCGAGGAAAAATCAGCACAAAAACTTCGATGCAGGTTGACTAGAAAATCTATTCTCATCTTCTTCAGGTCTTGCAACCAGACACGGAATAGTTAAACCTTTCCCTTGCAATCTGTCACCTCTAAATTTTGAGTAAGAATGCTAGCTAATAAATATTGCCTCAAAGAAGAGAAAAATGATGGCTCAGTTCTTTTTCATCTCACATATGCCCCAGTTCCTCAATGTTGACTGAGATTTCATCAGTTAATTACTCACCAAATTTACAGAGCGCTCCTAAGAGCGCAAGAGCAGAACATGGTCTTTTCACACCAGAGAACTTTTATAAAGGACATCTGGTTAAAAAGGCCAACAAGTAAGTAAGTGAAATGCTTAGAGATTACAAAACAGGTCAGGAGCATACAATGATGACTGCCAACAATAAGATGCTCTTTATTCAGATAGGAAGCCTTGAAGAAAAAAGGAGAAAAAAAAAAACCTCCTCCTCTGGATTTTAAACACAATCTCTACATCAAAGAATCTTAGGATTAGAAGAACTTTCAATAATTTACCTGTACCTGCTGAGTCCTCTGGAATAACCCAGAACAATTATCTAGTTTTCCACATGAAACCTTCATTTCCTAGAAGATATCTCCTGTTCTAGTTTCTCTGTTTATCCACTTATCTTCTTCAGTTCACCGAATCACCCCAACCTTTAAACCATTCCTCTGCCTACGTGGTTCCAGACTTCCTTCCCGTCCCGGCTGGGTTCCTCTGAACTGTGCCATGATCGGACGTTGTAAGTCTAAGAATGCAGACTAAGATTATGTTAGTATCTTTACAACTCTATTGTTAGTCTATATTTTTTAAGTTCTAATAAGTGTTTACCTTTTCTCATGTCTAAAATATTTCATAATAAATATCCTAAATGTCCTGACACATTTTACATAGACAACTTTGAATATTTTCTGTTAGTTCCATTTGGGAATATTACAAAATAAGCATTCAAATTCCTGAAGAGTATTAGAAGAAATTTTAGGGGATCGTTAAAAAAGTCCTCTTTCATCAATGCTTATACTTCTTAGTGTCCTATGAAAAACAGTTTCTTTTTATTGACTATACAGCTTTTTACTTGAAAGTATCATGGAATATTCTTGGATTTTGGTTATTATTGTTCATTTACTTATTGTGGAAATTTTTCATACACCAAAAAGAGAGAAAGATTACACACCCAAATTCAATGATTATCAACATCTTGCCAATCTTGTTTCCTCTATCCTGTGCCCCAGAGTATTTTAAAGCAAATTCCAGCATCGTATCATTTCATCTCTGACTGAAACACATACTATGTGTTAGTGCCCATTATGCCACAAGCACTGTATTTATCTTTTCTAGTCCTCAAAATAAATTAGCACAATAGTCAAACTTTATCTTCTACTATCCATGTCTGTTCTCATACTACACTGATTTTCCTCCTTCATATGTTGGCATGCATTGTTTTCAAAGCCTATATAAACTATGAGAATTATTGTAAAACTTCAATGTCCTACTTTCACTAGGTAATATTCCTTTGTAATGGGTCTACAACATTGCTGAGTGAGATTACTTGGTTGTATTTAGGCAACAGCGGAGTCATTTCACAGCTCAATGTTTTAGCCTACTGACTACTAGTTAATAAATTATGGCAGATCAGACAGCGGTCTGATGAACAACCTGACATGACTCACAGGATTTTAGAAGTACTTTGCAACACCTAAACAAAATATAAAGTAGCAGCATTAACAACCAATAATATCCACCTTTATTTTAAAGAAAACATATAGGGTTTACTTTACCAATCACAATTTTAGAGAATTCACTGTTGGATTATTTGACTTTAACTTCCATTGAACTTTAAGCCCATGAAGTTCAATTATTGTTTAATAAGTAACCCTGGGTATTCTGTATCACTTTTAAAGGAAGCAAGGGCTATAACTGACTTTAGGGAGCGACAGATTTTAGGAAACTTTCTGTGATTCATAAATTACAAAAATCCCTACAGAACAGGCTAGAAAACTTGAAGCTTTGCAAAGATGGGAAAGTACCAAATTATCATTAAGAGACGGAATTCCTAAGAACAGCAAGTCACCGTAATGCAGTGGTGGAAGCCCTTCAATAAGTCAGGAGAGCAGCTAAATATAAACCCTGACTAACAAGTTGTCTACAGACTCTCATCTGGGGTGTTGCCAAAAATGTTCCGATCAGGAAACCTGAGAGAATCCTGTCAAACACCAGTGTACAACTGGGTTGAGGGAGGGGCTTGAAGAACATGATGAGAGAGTTCTACAGGAGGGGGCAGAGGAAGGGACGCACATGTCACTTTTCGTCAAACCACTTTGGACTTTTTAAAACCTTTTCCCTTAGATTCTAACATAAAAAGCCTGACTGTTATTTTCCACCAAAGACTGGATGTACAATTTCAGCACATTCTTTTATTTCATGCACTATGATAAACTATAAAAACACAAATACAAGGCGACAAGAGAAAAGGGTGTTTTGTTTTGTTTTTGTGTTTTAAATCAGGTACTAATAAAGCACTAAGTTTCAAAACTTACATCTGAACCCACACTTCTCACGGTACTTTGTAGGACAGGTTTAGTCACAGCAAGTTTTCCATTTGCTGGGCTGCTCGCCACAGGAGATGGTACTATGTTCACCACGTGGTTAGGTAGCTGTGTGGCTCCCCCTGCGACAGCGAGGACGGGCTGGGGCAAGGGCAGAACTGCAGGTGCCTGGAGCTGCATGACAGTAGGCTGAGAGAGCACTATGGTCTGACCTACAGCAGAGAAAAAGGAAAAGGCATCAGAGGGCGCGTGCCCACTGCGGCAGGGGAGGTGTCTGACGTTCTGGTCTCTTCTGCAGATGTAATAGGTGGTATCACACTGAGGCACCTGAAACCACCAATGAAGACCAAAAGCAGCTGTACCCATGCTGGCTTCTGTGTGTTTAAGGAAACCAACTAAATTCCTTCCCTCTGAAGTTACCATTAACAATGTATTTACATTCTTTTTTTCTTCACTATATGCCTATCAAATTTGCTGAGTTATTCATAGATTTCTCTAAGTATTAACCTCTGAGATTTAATACTGCTCAAAGGATTTTTCATATTATAAATAACAAACCATTTATACTAAACACAGGGAACAATATATTTTAAGTTAAATGGACTTAGAAAATAAACACAACACCAAAAATATATGAACAAGAGATTCAGCAACTCAATACTTAGAAGAACAGGGGGCTACAAATACCAAAAATGTTAAAACCATTTGAGGTGAATTCTTAGCCAAGAGGCACAGAAAACATAAATCTGTAATTAAAAATCATCTGGAGATAATACCAACTCCCCGACCCCAAATAGCCTCCCATCTTTTCTTGATCTTCACATTTAACATTATTTCAAATTTATGCTAATCTGAGGAGAATTAGTATTATTAACCTAAAGAAGATGTAACCAACTCATAACACTGGCCTATTAAAACTTTTACTTCCCTACCGAGTGTTTCCTTTCAGATCTGACCACTTTTATACGGTGTTGAAAGCCTTGCCTAACATCCACAGCTGCTTGAGCCTGCCCAACAAAATAAAGGTGCTACAGTAACTGGCAACTAAAATTTCTTATGTATTTATAGTTCCTCATTAAGGAAAAAAAAGCATTGTACTTTCAGACAGTGTTTAACATGACCCATAAAAAACTCAGCTCAGATATCAAAGGATCAAAGAAAACTAAAACTCACAATAATGTTTCAGAACACCTGTTAAGAACATCTGTCTTAGCTTAAAAAAAAAATCACTTCTATAAAATCAGTCTTTATTTCAGATGGCCTCAAAAAAGCATACTGAAAGAATTTAATAGCATTTTATCCCAGATATATTAGTAAATTAGTAAGGAAGACAAATATAATTTCACAAATTTGCCATATGCACAATTTACTTGGGTGTAAATGATTACAGCATTTTTATCTTCTCATTTCCCCTTGGAATAACTTCTTTTATGAAATACAAACTATAAAATGGCAAAATGACTCATAAGTAGATATAAATATGCAAGTAAAAATAGGTAATAAAATAAACAGCATATGACCACATGTTAGGTTTTTTAAAAACACTTATTAAGAAATTATAGTCAGTCTGGTACTATGAAAAGACATACTCATCACAATGTAAAACTTAAACCAAGGGTTTCCACCCTGAATATAAGTAGCATTTTTAATATCACAAAATATCATGTCACCCAAGATGATCATGGTTGTCCATTCAGATTCTGCAGATTGAGAAAAATACATGAAAAGAGAAGATATTAAGAATTTAGTAATGATTTAAAATGAATTTATTGTTTGTACAGAAGTATAGCCACAAAAATGAAAAACAGTAGTATAAAGATACATGAAACAAATCATTTATTCAGTCTACAGAACACGCTTGCCACAAGCAAGGGTTTTCAGACACCTTGCGAAATGCCCGGACTCTTACTCCTACCACCCACACCCCAAGGTGTCCAGTCTGCAGGTTGAGAATCACTGACTCAAACCATCACTTTGAAAAGAGCATTATTGGGAACAGTGTTCTGCATCTTCTGGGTTTGAAAATTAAAATAAAAAGACCCCCCCAAAATTAAACACTGCTCAAAGCATTTGGGGACTATTGCAAAGAACAGAGGAGGTAGTAAATGTAAAGAATTAAGTCATAGGATTAATTTCAAAGGATCTTACTTTCAGCTTGTTACAGATTTAGAGCATTGGCAAATAACATGCAGTAGCTTTGTAATATTTCTTAAAACTAATTTAGAAAAACAGTCCAAGTCTAGTTATCAACATCTCCCTGCTGAGAGCACTGCATCATGCAGCAAGGGAGATGGAACAATACCAAGGCCAGGTCTGGGTACCAAATGCGGCTCTGAGTCCCACCAGGGCTCTGCTGCTCCCCTTTATTCCATAATGTACATCAAACCCTTTCATCCCAGAAGGCCCAACTATCCTCAAATTATCCAGCATCTAAGTCAAGTATTCTCTAAATATCCTAGGCATGTTTGAGGTCAAGAATGAATGGGGAAAAACAACTAAATTTCTATTACAATACTTTCAAGAAAAGAACTAGAAACACTCATGGTGACTTGATGAACACCGACCTGCTAGATGCTCACCACATCCCCAAATGCAATGTGAGGGGTCACTGGGGCCTTAAATAGTTAGCAGATGAACACCGTTTCTACTGTTCCTAGTATGGAAGCAGCTAAATAAGACACAACCAAAAGGCTGTTTATCCGTTTTAGCACACTCAAAATCCTCTTTGGCATTACACGTGAAATTCCCCTTAATGGAACCTGGGTGGACTCAATGCTGGGTCCTTCCGACTATACTCACTGACTGTGACAGTCAGTCCTTCTTTTTCACTTTCTTCAAAGATTTCAAAATATGTATCAAACATTTATTGAATGCCTACTTTGTCTGAAATAGCATAGTGTGTGACTGGTGGGTAAATAATTTCTCTGTGTCTTAATTTTCTTATCTATAAAATGGAGATAATAATAGCACCTATTCTCACAGCGTTGAAATAAGGATTAAATAAGATAATGCATTTAAGAACTCAGAAAAGTATCTGGCACAAATTAAGAGCTTAAATGTTAGCTCTTTATTCATTATTATTATTATTACCACTGTACTTTTCTGTATAATAGCTTCCATAAGGGCGATGCATGTATAATTAATTCAGTATTCTCATAGTTCCTGTTATTTAACTGTTCATATAAATTTGTTAACTCCCCAATTAGACAAAATTCTTAAGATCAAGGACCACATCTCAGGGTTTTCTTAAAGGTGGTATAGTATAGTATAGTAACTTAATTACATACTGTCTGAGCCAGACCACCCGGCCTCAAGGTCTGACTATCTCTCGCTAGCAGAATGACCTGGGGCAAGTTATTCCACCTCTGCCTCCTACTTTAATGATTTGCACTTACCATCTACCTAAAAAGCCCAAAACAGGCTACTTTCCTGTCTAACCAGCCCCCTTCCACACCATCCAATTACCAAGCCCTATGACTCAACACTTTTTAACATCTCTGCTCTCTACCCTGGCTCTCCATTTTCACTGACATTCCAGACTTTCATCATCTCTCACTTGCACTACTTCTAACAGTCTTAACAGATGTACAGGACTTAGCTGTAGAAGTTAGCAGAAGTCATTTCCAAGAGGGAGAATGGTACGAGCCAAGAAACTAGGAAAAATGAGATTTCAAGGGACAATGGCCAATAGTTGGGCTAGAAGAAGGAGTTTACAGAAAAGAGTGGGTTAGAATGGAAAGTTTGAAACCAAAACTGGAGCCAAACCAGGATGGGTTTTACATTCCAGGCTAGAGAATTTGAACTTAACCTTACTTCTTTTTTTAATGTTTAGTAAAATTATTGGTAAAATATTTACTACTGATACCAGTGATTAGCTATAAAAATTCCTCTCTTGTATTTTCTTTCTTCCTCCCCCTCCATTCTTAAGCACTTGGAAGACATACACTTAAATCTGTATAACAATACAACCTGTCTAGATTGTATTATAAAAACAGACAACTGCTTGGAGCTAGAGGGTATTATGCTCAGTTAAATAAGCCAGGCGGAGAAAGACAAGTACCAAATGATTTCACTCATCTGTGGAGTATAGGAACAAAGAAAAACTGAAGGAACAAAACAGCAGCAGAATCACAGAACCCAAGAATGGACTAACAGTTACCAAGGGAAAGGGACTGGGGAGAATGGGTGGGAAGGGAGGGATAAGGGTGGGGAAGAAGAAAGGGGGCATTACGATTAGCATGTATAGTGCGTGGGGGGCACGGGGAGGGCTGTGCAACACAGAGAAGACAAGTAGTGACTCTACAGCATCTTACTACGCAGATGGACAGTGACTGTAATGGGGTTTGTGGGGGGGACTTGGTGAAGGGGGGACCCCAGTAAACATAATGTTCTTCATGTAATTGTAGATTAAGGATAACCAGAAAAACAAAAAAAACCAGACAAGTGCTTTATGCTCCCCAAAATAAGTTCTGTCTTCAGATAATGGGAGAGCAGTAAAGTTCTTTGTAACATATGATTCAGGTTTCTGAAACTGATAAACTACTCAGAAAAGAACAGTTTTCTGGCTTCTATCATTCAAATGCACCCAATGGTCCGCTGAGAGCAAATTCTTAGGACATTCCTTGCTTTAAACCGTAGTCATATTAATGTCAAACTTTTGCTTTTTATATGTTTGAATAGCTTAGGGAACCACAATGAGGTCTTGCACTAGTTCAAGACACAGACAGACCCTTTTGAGATCCTGATGAAAGTTTGGGAGACTATCTGTAGAAAAATCCACATACAAGCACATGCTAAATTTTGCATTTTATTTCAAGGAGTTCATGAACATTCAGCATCCACTCACAGACCACAAGAACACTCATTCTACAGGACTGCTATTTTTCATGTGAAAAAAGGCAGCAGTTTTGACCCTGTACCACAAAGACAGGTAGGTATTTCACATTTGGGTATTTGGTAGGGATTGACTGATGGATTTTCACTGATCCATCACTCTCTCACCTAATTCTTCTTTTTATCAGTGTCATAGATAGAAGAAGGTAACAGAGCACCTGGAAATCAAACTCACGGCCTTGCCCTCACTAAAACCATGCTCCAAAGCAATGAGGTAACAATCCATAGCCAGAAACAGATGCATAAACGCAAATGTGACACTGGCGTTTATTTGCAACCCCGTGCCCTATTAACACCTAGTCCTACTTGATGCCAACAAGCTAAATCCAGGGGAAGAATGCTGTACACACTCTCCTGTACACAGGTGTACACGTCAGTATGAGCACAACGCTGAGTATCCACCTGAGAGATCACTATGTGTAAGGGATTCCTGTATCTGAATAGTACCAAATCCTCAAACCTGAACTTTCAATTCTCAACTTCTTGTAGAATCAAGTATGTGAGGCCATCTGGTGGATAAAATATAGCAACACTCAAATTCTTAATTAGCTAAAGACAGAGTTCAGGTCTCTTCCTAAACCTATTCCAGATCACGTTTACTAAATCACACTGCCTCCACAGAGATTAAGAACCTGAATCTATTGGCAAAATATACCTATGAGACCTGAAATGGACCGTGTTATTTTAAATACTAACATCTTCTCAAAAATAAAAAAGGTCACAGACACAAAAATCTCAGAATAAAATGGTACCAAGAAAGTTTCCCAGATTTTCTTCTTCACTACAAATAGTTAAATAAAACCACAAGACTTACAGACAGTTGTTTCCATAATTAAAACTGTAAGAAAAAAAGTGTCAGATGTGATTGATCTGGACACCTATCTCCTTTGTTAGGACAAGAACCACATATTAGTCATCTCTGTGACTTCCTCAAAACCAAGGACAATTTCTTTTACACACCACGTGCTCAGGAATTATAACCTGTATTAGAACAAATCGTGTGACACAAGCCTTAGTATCCGCTGATTAAACATATACGGCCTTAGATTTCATCAGGTACCTTTAGTGGATGCAGGATGTATACTGACAATTGGCTGCTGCTTTGCCAATGGCATGAGTGTTGGTAGGGTCTGAATAATGATGGTTTTTGCTGGGACGCTGGGGTTTGTTTGAGCCTTGGGTGCTGCTGGAAGTAATAAAGGCTTGGGCTGAATCGAAGGTTTGGAATTCATGTGAATTTTTTTCTTTGGAGTCATTCCATGTTCTGGAGAAAGACCAAACCACAAATCAATTTGAAAGCAATTAAGCAAATCCTAGAAAAACAGAGTCTATTGTACACCTTTCTCTACACATTATCTTGACTCTGAGTAACTATTTTTAACTGGAGTTTAAGTATACCTTAATGGATGGAAGAAAAGTCCTTTATCTGACGTCTTCCTTTTTTAAATTAATGTGTAACTGATATACAACGTAACTGACATTAGTTTCAGGTGTACAACATAATGATTCAGTATTTGTATCACAAATGATCACCATAAGCCACCTAGTTAACATTCATCACCATACACAGTTACAAGATGTATTTTTGTGATGAGAACTTTTAAGATCTACTCTTTTAGCAACTTTCAAGTATGTAATACAGTATTATTTACAATAGTCACCATGCTGTACATTACAGTTCCATTACTTATTTATTTTGTAACTGGAATGACACTTTCCTCTTTGACCAAGCTGCCACTTTGGGAAGGGGGTACATAAACTGGTAAAGCAGAAAAGCGACCATCATTGAGTAAAGCCTAGAGATTAATAAGGTAACAAATGTCATGGCCAAATGGCCCTCACATTTAGTGTCTTTAACTGAAACTTTGAATTATCTCCTGAAGATGATGGGGCTTAAGTCTATTTTAAAGATCTGTCACCTACAGAGACAAAGATAATCAGTAAGAGATTTCCTCCCTTTCCCCTCTACGTTAGTCATCCATAATAAACAAAATTGGTCCATTAAAAACACCAGCTTAACAGACATGTATTTCAGTGTTTTCTGTTGAGAAGTGGAACTTAAGCTCAGTCTACAATAAAAGTAACAGAAGTTAGGAGATAGAGTCATACCAGTTTTGCTCCTAAGACCAATGACAGGCTTGTATTCTTTAAGTGGCTCTGCTGAGGAGGGACTGTTGGCACCGTCACCATATAAGGAAAGGGGAGACATCTGAGAAGAAGACAGATCCAAGTCCTCCTGTAGCAAAATGAATCACAAATTCATGCAGAAGATGTAATCCTTGAGCAGAATATCACTTAGAAAAAGAGGCAAGAACCATACATAAACAGAAAAACTTGAAGACAACTTCAAGACAAAGGTGTAATGTACTAGAAACTTTACCTATATATTAAGTTATATACATATATATCAATATATATAATGTCGATAAATCAACATTATCCACCAACACTAAAGGCAAAATAACTCAAAATAGTGTCTAGGTCATCCTCTTATATTAAAGATATGAATCACCGATTGCTTCTACATTTCCTCCCACAAACTTTGTATTTTACTTGGTTCCTATTCATACAATCATTTAGGAAAATGCTACAGTTAAAATGCCAATATCCTTTCCCTACAATCTCTTATTCAGTCTTATAAGAATCTCAAATGTAAATATAATAATTATTTTTAACCTTTTCTAGTTATTAACAGTGACTTTGTCCTAAATGTTTTGAAAGAAAAACACCAAAAGGAACAGGGCTATATTATTTAATTAGTGAATTGGTAATATACAGATGTATAAAGACAATATTATTAATATTACTCAGTAGGATCTGTTTCATTTTGTTAAAGAAACTTAACATAGGATAAAAGTAGCATTTCTATTCTGAGTGAAAAAGATGTTATATATAACAAAGGGACAGGCATAATTTTACATTATACCATCTTCAAAATAACCTGTGAGATTGTTACAAGAAAATTTAGGATAATACTTGTTTACTCAAGCATGACATAGGCCTGCCTCCTTTAGTCAAAACACACAGGAGCCATAAAGAAGAAACAGATTTGAACAAGTATTAATTAAAATTATTTTATAATGAAGACCATGTACAAAGCTAAAAGATACACAGTGGAAGAAAATATTTGCTAAAAATGGACAAAGGACAGGAACAGATATTTCACTAAAAAGGAAATGCAAATGGTAGCCACAGGCAAATTTAAAACAAAATCTTTTTTTTACTCAACAGATAAGGAAAAAATTAAAATGACCCGGAGAGACTATGGGTGAAATGATCACTCTCAGTCATGCTGGTGAGAATGAAAGTTGCTTCATTCATTCATGCTTAGTAGATACTCAGCATGTAGCCTTAAGCTGGGCTTTATGAATCTTACGGAATATATTACACTCAGAAGAAACCTATGGGTACAAGATAACAACAC